TGCGTGTTATGCCTATAGAAGGTGAATTTAGTTCACGTTATGAATCTACATGATATTGTCTTTTAAGAATTTGTAAGCAGTATGTCGCTTATTTTTGCTCTATTTTGTCTCAAATGTTAGTTGACCAGCCCACCTATACTTGTTCCAAACAAGTATTATATGTCTAGTTATAATTATTATTGTTTTGTTTTGGGGGGCGGGCGAGGACTTGCGCCCTCCCTTTTAAGGTCAAAGGTCATTTCAGGTCAACAAACTTAGACTATGTTGTGGCATCAATTTCAAAACTTAAAGTTTAAGACCAGTATTGGAAACGCCCCAATTAAAAAAAATGAAATGGAAGCTCTTTTTACCAATCATGTGAAAGAATATGTTTTGACTAATACATGATGATAACAATTTTGCCGGGAAACCGCCTACTAATTGATATATTTGCTACATTAGTTTATATATTGGGATGTGATAGATGAAACGCACGTGTCGCGGACGTGTGCGTAGTCCCATATACATCTTTCTGTGTACAGTACTTGTAACTTTTCCAAGACTGGGCCAAATTCCTTATCATTTTGATGATTCCAGAACCTTGCAGTACACACCAATACTTATATGCTAGATGATCAACCTTTTCTGATCGATTAAACAACGTTTCTTTCACAATGCAATCGCATGACCAGAACTGATCTTTATCTTTAACAAAAGGTTACGATTTTGAATTTTTATCATAATTTTGAAAGTATACATTCCTATTCCATGAAACTTAAACATAGGGGTTATCAAGTATCATCATTTATGTGATTAGTCTTTTAGGTGACAAAGTCAAGATCAAATGTAATTTAAGGTCTGCAAACCAAGACTTTGTTGTGTTATCAACATCAAGATTTTGAATTTTTAGATAATTTCAAAAGCGTTTGTTCAAATTCCATGAAACTTGTACACAAGGGTTATCAAGTATCACAAATCATATGACACAAATTCCAGGTCACAAAGTCTAGGTCAAAGGTCATTTAAGTTCAGTAGACTTGGATTATGTTTTCACAACTTTATATGTGGATTAATAAATCAATTTTCATTATTTGTTCATATTCCATTAAATTTATCAATCTTGGTACAAATTATAGTAAATAATTCTTCTAATGATTCTTAGCCAATATTCACTTCAAAATGCTGATTATATTCAGAGGATTTCATTTTTTTCATTTTTTCATTTTTTTTTTTTTTCATTTTTTTTTTTTTTTGGGGGGGGGGGCCTGTGAATGGCCCACCCTGCTTATAAATAATGTCCCAACCTCCATTTTTCATCATATCGAATTGCGTAATGCAGGCGAGACCGCCGAGAGCGTTTCCCTTGTTTTAATTTGCGTGTACATTATCATATCAAAACGTTTGGGTCACTGAACAGTGCTTGTTTTATGGAGAATGACGTGAAAAACACGTCTTTTTTTTACATCCGTCTCCATTCTGCTAAAAATACCAACAAATTTATCAAGTTTGACTTGTGTAATACGTCAAAAACTATGTTCTTTCTAGTAAACAAACACATTATAATTTCATTATGATTTACTCTTGTGTTGTATTGTTTAAAGTAGTCAATTTACTGTTAGCTCGTTTCCCGTGTAAAATCGACAGGTCAAGCGACAGAGTTTTATTACCATGTCACAATTTGGCATACCGCCCTCTTATAATTTTTAGTTTGAGAAAGTCATTTGCATGCCCCCCCCCCCCCATTTTTTTTTTCCAAGATCGGTTGAACTTTTTTTGACCCCTTTTTTTACCTCGATCGATTACATGTATGTGCCCCCCCCCCCCCCCCCCAAACATCAAACTCTGGCTACGTGCATGTATAAGAATCGCTTTTTACATCCGTCTCCATTCTGCTAAAAATACCAACAAATTTATCGAGTTTGACTTGTGTAATACGTCAAAAACTATGTTCTTTCTAGTAAACAAACACATTATAATTTCATTATGATTTACTATTGTGTTGTATTGTTTAAAGTAGTCAATTTACTGTTAGCTCGTTTCCCGTGTAAAATCGACAGGTCAAGCGACAGAGTTTTATTACCATGTCACAATTTGGCATACCGCCCTCTTATAATTTTTAGTTTGAGAAAGTCATTTGCATGCCCCCCCCCCCAATTTTTTTTTTCCAAGATCGGTTGAACTTTTTTTGACCCCTTTTTTTACCTCGATCGATTACATGTATGTGCCCCCCCCCCCCCAAACATCAAACTCTGGCTACGTGCATGTATAAGAATCGCTTTGAATGTTCAATGTTAAACCCCACGTTTACAAATCTTTGCCGACAGTTTTTGGTGAGATGATTCAGTTTGAGAACTAGTCTCTGTCACTATCCACGCACTTAAAGGGCTAGTTGAGTTCTTGTTTAAGACTGCAAATGCCTTCAAAGTGCATGGTTTCCGGTATTGCCCTTACTCTTATTTATGACATTTCTAGTGCCCTCTTAGAACCCAAAATTTCTAAGAAAGTAACTTTAGACCCTAAAGTGTGCGAATTTAGATTGAATACGATCATCCCAATTCAGCTTCAATTTGAAGAAAATACGGTGACCGTTGATTAATTAATTAATTAATAATAACGACACACGGGCCGGCTGGTTGTGCGTATTATAACCAACACGAAAAAGCCAAACAAAAAACAATATTGGCATTGGCTGGAATAAAACGTATAAGGCGCTATATCGTTTTTCAACGGCTGGTTTAAAATTACCGAATATTTGGGGGGCACCTCAAATATTAGAAATGGTTATATTTATTTCTACTTTAGACGTCTCTGAACCGATTTTCATCAAAGAAAGATGATTTTGTCATTTATATTGTATATCCTTCCACTCACATTTTCATTATCTCCTCTCAAAAAATTATTTTGTGTAGCGACCTCTGCAACAAAATTCAACTATCCCTTTAATAGAATGCACAGTGATAGAATGATACCGGCTGCAGATATATGAGATACGTAATCTCTTGTGTGCACAGAGCACGACTGATGCATTTTCTTCAATTCCAATGGGGTCCATTAAGCTCCAAACGTTTTGATATGTACAGAAGCTATTGAAATTCAGTCATCAGGCTGCAAGAATGTAATGTCTTCAATAAAATCCTTCAATCACTTCTAATAAGTCCTTTTTTAATTTTAATATAATAAGTTCTTCTTATTTTATTTCTCAACAGAATCATCCAAGATGTTAATTGTGGAAACTATGCAGTACATATCAGAAAGATCGTGTATCAATTTTCTACAGTATAACGCCAACGTAGAATCAATCGTGGGGCACAACGACAGAGTATCCTTCAAATCTTCTACGGGGTGAGACAGCCCTCTATGAACTAAATTGGGACTACCCTGCTTGTTTTATTTTAAGAAAACATATGAAATTAATAAATTAATAAATCATATTAATATTACTCTTAATGATAATACTACTAATAATGATAACAATGATGATGATGATAATAATAGTGAGGGAATACTGATGTTGATCTTTAAAAAGAACTATAGGCGTACGGTTTTTTAATTTGGCGAGCAGGCGATGAGAGCGAGCAGAGAACAAAAAGATTGACACCAAGAGAAACATCATCTGAGGAATCCCAAGAGATTTTCGCCACTGTTCCCATCTAATAGACGATTTTCAGCATTCATTTTCAAAAGTCAAATACTACCCTTGAATAAAACTCAATATAAAATCACTTTATATTTGATACATATTAATTAGGGAACCATTTATGTCAGTTGTCATACTTCTTGACATAAAAAAAACCCATAGCAGTACAATATTTCCTTTTAAGTGAAGATTTTGCATGATCTTATAATTTTCTTGATGCTAGGAATTACACATTATACAAAAGCATAAAATCTCGGAAAACTTTTAGTCTAGTTACAATGAATTATGTTGTGCTGTTCTCGAGTAAGCATTATAACTTATCATCAAAGTCTCTAAAGTGGCAACGTGGTGTCGAATATACATTCTGAACTGACATGGGAAATGCAATCTCAGATTGCACAATTGCCAATACACTATTATACAGTGCGTCCCAGAAAAAACGAAGCAAAAAGCAGATTTGACAAAAGACTTAACTCCGTTTCGTTGACAATCAGCCATGCGTGAAGACTCTCGTCTACGGCTGATTGTCAATGAAACGGAGTTAAGTATTTTGTTAATTTCGTTCATTGATACGGCAGGCAGCCAGTGAAAACGAATTCGTTTAATAAAATTATGGAAATGCAAGCACTACTTTAAACAAACAGAACTCTGTCATTCCTCGCTCATTTTTCCTGATTGAGGTGTCATATGAAAGGGCAGAAACTCAACTTTCTAGAAATGTGAATTTTTCTTCGAAATCCAGAAACCGCCCGCCAAATGTCTTTTTGGTTTCCTTCCTTCAAATTGCTTTTAATCACTCAAATATGCATAATCTGAGTAGCATCATATGAAAGAGGAGACTCTAAGCTTTCCAAATATGTATCATTCATTAATTATAGTTGTGATTAAGTTATGATAGAACATCGATACTTCTCGGTTTCGTTTTTTCTGAGACGCACTGTATAGGTATGCGGAACACGGGCTAACTCGGCACTCGGGTCAACTCGGTCTCGGCAGAAAATCGTCATCCGAGCGAGCTGAATCAATCGCAATACAGTGAATGTATTTTCACATTAATTACGTGTCTAGACCTTCAAAATAATTTGATAGGAATGTGTCAAATAGTATTAAAAAAAAAAAAAAAAAGATATTGTTAAAAAATTGCAAGAGGTCAAATTCTACAAAACATCATGAAACCTATGCATGGTCATTTAGAGGTTAAAGCCTTATATCGCCGAGTGATGCCGAGTTAGCCCGACCCCTTGAGAGAGACAGAGAAAAAGACAAATAAAGTAAGAAAGAGGGGGAGGGAGAGAGAGAGTAGATATATAGAGAAAGAAAAAAAAAGAAAGAGAGAGAGAGACAGAGAGAAAGAGAGTGAGAGAGAGAGAGGGGGAAGAGAGAGAGGCAGGGAGAAATGGAGAAAGAGAGAGAAAAAAAAGGGGACGTTTATAGTGGATGAAATTAATTTATTCGTAGAATCTGTATTTTACCCCGACTTGTTTTCTTCTTCCCATTTCTGTCTTTCCTATTTTTAATGTTTATATTTTAAATATCTTCATTTCAGTTGCTCTTCAGCTACTGGGAAAAGTATTTACCGTGACTTGCACTACGTATTTCTCAAGGAAGAGTGCACAAATGTAAGTTATTGATGGGCATAAAGAATGGACACTTTACAAAAGGTGAAAGGTGGCAATGTACCCCGTCCCGCATGATAAAAATGAGCTTTTGCAGGCATTGATTGTACTGAAATACGGTCCATAAGTTTAAACGAAAATCCAACGTTATTAACAAACTGCTGACTATAAAAGCTGAAAAATTAGAGAAACGGATTGGTGAAAGTTTGAAGGAAATCCGACAAAAGTATTATTTTTTTATTTTTTTAAAAGTTGCAATCAATATGCTTCATGATACTTATGTAAGCTTAAAATTCTTTTATTTTTTTCAAACACACAAAATGACTCAAATGTCAGCTTTTCAAAATTATTGACTGTGGACGGGGGGGGGGGTAGTGAGCATTCATTTATTTTTCTTTGTTCTCCCTTTTCTTCACAATTTTCCTTCTCCTCATCTTTCTTTTCTTGTTAAAGCTTTATTTCAACCAATACCAGGTGCATCGTTCTGGTCGGGTGTGGGGATGAAGGTCTGCCGAACACAGTTATTTGGTTAACTTTTTCCATACCCGGGCAGCTCGACCGGATGCACCTGCTATTGCAATATTTATATATGCTTTCTATTGATTTTTTAAAAATCTCAATTCATGTTTGTTATATTGTTGTATTTATGTGACTTGATTTGCCAAATAATAATAATAATAATAATACCCCCGTAAAATTAACGTGTATTTTTACACGTTTTTTCTCCAGGAAGAGGGGCGGGCCCCCTCCCCCCCTCGTTCCGCCACTGTATGCGTTAAGGAGTATTTTTCTAGCCCTCAGGGCCAGACCGGGGGAAAAGGGGTAATAATTCGCGAGAGGTAGCTTATCTAGCGCGCGTCGGTTTGAAACGATCTTCAGTAGATCAAGATGGAAGCCCACGATACCGACAAGTCTCACGCCTATATAACTGGTCCCTTATATTTTGTTTGGCATAGTAGAATAGTAACTACTCACTGTACATTGTATACTTTTTGTAAAATATACATTTACTTTTTATAAAATAGATCAAATTTGAAATGCAATTCTTTTTTTTCAAAGAAAGGACTTATGATGGCTTTGCATTAAACCCATGTGGACTTGTACAGGTTAATGTTATTGCTTCTCTATTGAAATAAACTTTTACATAGTGAATTTTACATCAGAAGCGCAATTTGATTTATTTTACATCGTCAACAACGTAAAGGGTAATCCCTATCGCACTTCAAAATTGCTCACGGTGTAACAATTTTACAATGCACATGAACATGTATGTTCGAAATTTGTTTGACAAAATGAAATCAATAAATCAAAGCAAACCCCTTATACAGGAGACACTCTGTTGTCCGAAGGTTCATAACTCCAAAAAAGAAATACGGTTCATTATACCAAATGTTCGGTGTTCCGAAAATGAAGTAAGGCTCGTAATTACCCGAAACGATACAGTGTTCTATGCCATTTCGGAATTAGGAACCTTAATTTCCGGAATTACGTACCTTGAAGTTCGGAACTAAACCCCTTCTGAAAAATTACGTATAACCATTTTTACAATCATTTGACAGTTTGGGACCATCTCTCACCACATTCTAAAAACACTCGGGTTTTATGACGAAGAACTTCGGGCTGATCGAGATGAGTATGTTCGAATACAACAGAAGAATTTAGATTCCTTTCTATGTGCTCCTTCAATAAAGAAACTGATGGAGAAACGTACGGCACTCCTTATGACTTTTCATCAATCATGCACAATCCCAGCACTGTAAGCATTTTTACTTTTCTAATTGTTCTCTTCTAATTTATCATTTTTTTCCCCTAAATGAGTACAATGAAATAATATGTTTATCAGCTTTGGCTACTCGCGCGGCAATAAATACATGTGTATTGCGAAATATTGTGTGTGTATCTTAAATCCCCACTGCTATCCTCCCTTTTGGAAATGTTTGCAAAAGTTAATAAAATGTCTCCGCCAGGAATCGAATCTGAATGGGTCCCTGGCTTGGAACTCCAATGCCTTAACGTTAACCACTAGGCCAGGGATACGGGATACCTCATACGAAAATTCAGGACTCTACTTCCTATGTTAGGGGAAATAGTAGAAATATTTGATTGCATTTTTAATTTTGTAAATTTGTATAAAAAATTAAAGATTTTGCATTTCTAAACTTCACCTTGTTTTAGGAGCAGTCTAGTTCTGTATGTATTAAATAATTTTGTTTGTAAAAGCCCTCTGTTTCTATCCGACGTAGAAAGCGCTCATTCCACTCATTCACTCTGTCATTGACCATGGATTTCAGGGCAATTTTTGCATTTTTCATTCTGCAATAACCTCTTTGTACCATTGTCACTATGACGTGGCGCTTCACAGACTGAATAAGTCATTGACGCCATATCGTGACAAACAAATAATAACGCCTCGTGTACAACGGGCAATAGCTGTCCAATAGCTTATGGAGCGCCAAATGTTAAAGATAACCTTGATTTCTGGTAATGATAGATAATAAATTCTCACAGAATCGAACAAAACTTACACTGAATGTTCAAGATAACGGAGCTCAAGATGATTAGGCGATTTTAGCCAACCTGGTTCGAGTTTGGGCACAATATTGCGATTACTGCTTTGTTGGACAAGCACAAAACAAAATACCATACGATATACTGCCACCAACTCAAACCAAATTGGCCAAACTCTGTGTATAGATGGCTCTATCATTCACTAAAAATACCATTAATATATATATATATATAGTTTAACAGCCATGTGATTAATGTCACTTTTCGTTACTTTAGTACCAGTCTAAAGATGGAGTTCTGCCAACCATCATAGCGCTCGACCCACTGGAGATGCCGTATTTGGGGAATGCCGTTATGCCTTCATTTTATGATCTTAAGGAGCTCAATTTGGCCTACTACTGCCCAAATTCGGCTGCCGATGTAGGCTGTGATCTTGTTTGCGTAAACGATGGGTACCTATTCAGTCCATATGATAACAATGGAGGGAGTAATTGTTCGTGCGGTTGCAAACCGCAGTATACGGGTACCTATTGCGAATTGGCGAACCCTGACTTCGTTCCACGTAAGACTCTTCACTTTTTTTAATTTTATTATATCAACAAACTAACAAACTAACAAACAAAGGGGGGGGGGAGGACTGTGGATATCGAACATTCGACTTTTGGGCGATATTCAAGAAATCAATTTTTAAAAGAAAAATGTCTGGAAATAATGTTTGGAACGTATTTTCCTTTATGGTATATTTTAGAATAAAGGATATAAACATTGATAATTACATCGAAAAAAAATGAAATGGCATACTTAAAAGCACTCCTTCAAACCCTCATGTCAAATTTTACCTAGTTCTTATATAACAACTATAAGCAAACTAAAGTGAAGTAATATATTGTGTGTTCTTGTTTTCATTGGAAATACCCATGTATGATTCATATCATTAGTGTTTGATAAAATTAACAATGTGTATCGTGAAATATGAAATATGAAATAAACCAAACCCTGAATCTTTAGTAGTTTAACATTTATTGAGAATGTTCCATTACAATATAGTATATCTATCTCTTTGATTAAGGTTGCATACAAAGATTCACAATAGACGATGGGCTGACAGGGACCATCTCCTCACCTAATTACCCGTTCAACTATGATCCGGATATGATATGCCAATACATTATTACGGTAAGACGGGTATCTGGTACTTCTAATACGGTCAACGTCTTTCAGATGGGCGGTAGAGCCACTGATATATATATGCAGAAAGAGTGTTTATTTTATCTCTTAAGTAATTTCTACCGTACACCGCATACACGATCTGACTACGATCCCATTCGGGAAGAATTTGCAATAGTATTTGATATGATTATTCCTACATGTAAAATCTTAATGATCAAAGATCCGATTAATCACATAATTATCAAAAAGGCTAAATCTCAAGAGATTTCAAACTTCCGAATCCCCTTTCATTCCGACTAGAAGACTACAAATACATTACAATAATGGTAGTCAGTAATCTTATCATGATTTAGAGCCTAAATCAGGAAGATGGTGTTTGTTTAGATTTCCGTATTCAATACAATTACCATTTCTTCGAAAACCAGATTGCAAGAGGGTATAGCTATAGATATAGCTATAGTGCGCGGTGGACTTTTACATTCTTAATGACTGGAGTTAGTGGAAATTATCCGTCTTTTTCAATGGGTTAAGAACATCTAATTGTGATGAATTTCATATCATTTTAAAGGTACTATGTCCCTTTTGCAGCCAACCTCAAATGCTGTAGAACTTTGCAGGAATTATGAATATGTCATGTATGTCCAGGGGCGTAGACAACGGGGGGGGGGGGGGGGATGAGGGGGATGGCATGTACAATCATCCCCCCAGGTTTTGGGGAATGATATTTGCTTACTTAATAAGTCATAATGATGATAATAATAGTAATAATAATAATGATAACAATTATAATATTAATAATAATAATAATTATGATGATGATAATAATAATCCTCATCATTATTGTAATTGTGTTTATTGTTATTAGCCCCATTCACACGGTGAAAGCCAATTCAGACGGTAAAAAAAAGAAAATCTTACAAGTATTTTGTGGTTATCTTGTGGTTTGGAAACCACAAGATAACCACAAGATTAAACAGGCGCGGATCTACGGGGGTGGGGGAGGTTTAGGGGTTTAAACCCCCCCCCCCCTTGGGCGGCCCAAAAAAAAAAAAAAAAAAAAAAGGGGAAAAAAGAAGAAAAAAAAAGAAAAAAAGAAAGAAAAAAGAACGCACGCTGGAGAGAAACCCTTTCAAGTGCAAATATTGTGAGAAGATATTCAACTCATCTGGTAACTTAACCAAACATATGATAACTCTGGATATAACTGTGTATTTAACTGTTACTTGATTTAAAAAGACGTTATCATGCACTGCTTTTTATGGTCTCCATTGTGTTAATAGATGCCAGGAAAACATCACTTACGGGTTCAAATAAACACCCAAAAAAAATCGGCTCGCCGCTTCGCGGCTCGTGGACGATGCTCCGCATCGTCATTATTTTGGTCAACCCCCCCTTAGCAAAAAGCTAGATCCGCCCCTGAGTCATCCCCCCAGGTGTACGAACCTGTCTACGCCACTGTGTATGTCCTATCTGTGAAATTTAAACGTTAGCAGTGTCCTCATATTCAAATTATGCAAGGAAACCCGTTTACTTGCTAGACTTCACTGTCAGACACTATTGAGTGACTGACTGGCCTTTTTTCTTCTTTGGTAATAACATACATGAAAAGAGTTGGAAAGGGTACATGAGCATTTGTCTACATCATAACCCACTTCTTGTGATGGCCAAGATTAAACTGATTGAATCTTTGCGCAGCATAAAACGTATGACCATTCCGTACAATTGTCTGCAAATCAAGACTATTACTTTTGGGCTCTATAGCCCTAAAGTCGATTTGACGACTAATAGTCGTTATTTTCCCACTTGAAGACATTTTCAAGCCCCACCTTTTTTAGGGAAGTTCTAAATTAGTATTATCTTTCAATGCAGTTGGAATTTAACTTTTTCATTTTTTTGGCCTGCAAATGAGACATAGTACCTTTAAGAGCTTAAAATCTCCTTTTCTAGAATCAAAATTAAACCCCAAAAATAAATCATATCTGATGACTTGGCCTGGTCACCAATGTACTAATACTAATGCATTAACGTACTGTACTAACTTACCAATGTATTTATGTACCGATGTATTTACTTAGGTATAAACTTAGGCACAAATAATCATATCTGATTGATACACGTCTGTAAAAACAAATTACATACAGACACACACGCATAATGTATCAGCAGGCATCATATGTTGTCCGGTTCTTATCCTGTTTCTGAATGTTCTGAGCGAGTGAAGCCAACAAGCGTGGTGAAAATATAATTTCGATATAAAAATATGATTTATTTTGGGCACCTTGCTGCATGCCCAAATATGGCGATATCCGGGGACCTCGCTTTGGAAGAGATATTCTGGCCTTTCGTTGACTGATTATGTGGGCATTCAGGCACTTCATGCCTACAGTCACACCGTGTTTCTAAATGTTTAAAGCGAGCGAGGAAAACAAATTGTTTTTTAAATGTTACTTCTTCAGAAAAATACACAGCGGTTTCCGATGTTTTTGCTTCACGAAATGGACCGAAATGGAAAAAGGTGTACCAAATTACTTTAGTGTACTAGTTTATAATGTCATAATGTAGACCTACTAATATACTCTACAATGTACTAATGCAGGCCCTATTTCTATGTTGGCTTTTTAAAGGGGCCAGCTGAATCAAATATCAGTTTGCAATTTACTGATTTCATCCTGCAACCTGGAAACCAAACTTGCACAAATGATTACCTGGATATCTTCTTGGCGGATACAGCTTTGGCCGACACGACGATTTGTGGCTCAGTTGCTCCATCAGCCTTCGACAGCAACAGCAATGAGATAAGGATCGTGTTTAAGTCAGATTCCACCATCCAGGACAAGGGATTCTCTTTGATGTACACCATACACATCGAGCCAAGCTGCAATGTGTCATTCAACAGTTCAGTCGGCGGGATCCCCAACTACGTCAGTGAATCCCTGGTCAATACGCATTGCACATATGAGATCAATGTGCCAGAAGGGCAACGGGTTGCCCTGACCTTGCAGTCATTCGATGTACAGAACGGGTACTGCTCCGTAAGCAGTATAGAGGTATACTTAGGAGACGGCACCTCGACCCCTATTCAGTAAGTCCAAAGACATTATTTACAGTTTCCATTTAAATCATCTTACGTTTCAAATTCCCCCCAAAATGCTCCTAGGACGATTATCCAGAATGAGATAATCTAGACCACTGACTCCTGGGACAATGGTGGATGATCTCTTTCCAGTCATTATCTCTAGGATTACTGTCTGTTAAGGATGATTGTAATTATATCCTTCATAGAATATTTCTTGTCCATGGATTGGTCAAGAGCTCTTCATGTGATCAAAGAGATACCAGCTAATATCCTCCTTGATGTGATCATGAATGAATTAATCCACTACAAGAGAAATTCCTCAACAGTGGCGACTGCATGGCACATTACGAAGATTTCCAAGATATAGACCTCAAATGTAGTTGACTAGAACAAACTACAGGGCTTTACAACCACACACGACAGAGTGTGATGAGGCAAGGAACAAGTTAAGTAGGGATGGACTGTAGTTTGAGGTTAACGAATTCTAAGAATCTAACATTAGATTCGTGCCGAGATAGACAACGAGGCGTTGAAAGTCTGCAACTGTTAACATAACAGTCTCGGAGTGACTAAATCCAAATTAAACTAAAAATGTCTTTGATTACCTCCCAATTTCAGATTTTGTGACCAATGCGTTCCTAAGGAGGAAATCATCTCTGCCACCAATATGATGAAAATCATATTTGCGGTTCAGGGTTCCGAGGACAAAACCAGTTTCTATGCTACCTACCGAGCTGTTGAAAAAATCGCTATAAACTCTTCGAACCCGGATGTAGAAGGATCCACTTGCAGTCACTGCCAAAGTACGACGGACCAAGACAAAGGTTATATTCAGTCACCGAGATACCCTCAGGCCTACCGAAGAAGGATGTGCTGTCAATATGAGATCACTGCACCGCCAGGCTTACACGTGGAGCTTAACTTCGCACGAATCTTTCAGATCGAAGAAGAAGACACCATCTCCATCGATATTGGCGGCTCACAACCAATAAGGCAAGTCACAGCTCAACACTTCTACTCTAGGCCAAATAACAAAAATGAAATTTTTCTCGTCCCCGCCCGCCTCTTTTTTGGCCGCCGTCTCCCTTTTTTTTTTTTTTTTTACTATTTAGAAAAAAGCCCCCAAAATATGCCCCAAAACAAACAAAAAATAGCCTCAACAAAACATTAAAAGCCTGTGATATACATTTTGTTTAAATAACTTTTTGAGTTATACAAATCATTTGTTTTGGTCATACATTGAATCAGTTTGCTCACATAGTATAGTAATAATGACTGCTTTGAGAGACATAGTTTGATATAAGACAAAAAAAAAGAGAAACATCAAGTTAATATTGAACTCATAATATGCTTTTTGCACATACTTAAATTAATGAAAACGAAGCATTATTTTTCGACAGAAGTTTACTAACTTTAAACGTGTTTGTACATTATTGGATTTAAAAACTGAGACATTTTCAGTGTATTTGGTCTTTCAATAAAATATTTATTGATGAACAATTTTCTGTCTAAACTAAAGGCAGGGCATACAAAAAGTAATGAAACTCGTCCCCAGGTGATTGCGGATCCAGGGGGGGGGGCACAGGGGGCACGTGCCCCCCCCCCCTGGCCCCCAAAAATGTATTAAAATTTGTATTAAAAAAAAAAAAGCCAATGGCTGACCTAAGAAGGTGACCTTACCCCCCCCCCCCCCCCCCCCCCCCCCCCCCCCCACTGAGCGAATTTTTGGCCGGCGCGTTTTACAAATTTTCGGGAGCAAAAAAAAAAAAAAGTTGGGCCCCCTCCCCTAAGAAATCCTGGATCCGCGCCTGGTTGTGACAGATATGCCTCTATTAGGTTATTCAGATCCGAATATGTGGGTCTAAATTTTTCATTTGACACAAGCTCTGCCACAATAAAAAGACTTTGATCGTCAATTAAAAATATGATCTTAACGATAAATGGACATAATAGGAAAAGAGAACTGTAACAGTCCGAAGTTGAATCCATGTTAAGTTTTCTTCTCTTCTAATTAAAACAGCGTCGCAGAGACCTTCGAGAATCAAACTAAAGGGCATGTCCTACCCCCTGTACATCCACCCCGGATAACGACCCCCGGACAACTACCCCGGACAACTACCCCCAAGGACAACTACCCCCGGACAACTATCCCCCAGGCAACTACCCCCTAGGACAACCCTAGGACAACCATCCTCTAGGACAACTATCCTAGGGGTAGTTGTCTGGGGGGTAGTTGTCATGGGGTAGTTGTCCGGGGGTAGTTGTCCTTGGGGGTAGTTGTCCGTAGTAGTCGTCCGGGGGTCGTTATCCGGGGTCGATGTACAGGGGGTAGGTGTCCTAGAACCATGCTGTAGAATTGGTGGAACATTAGAGATATCATTCAAGTTTCATTCAACTAATTTAGCACTACTCCAACTATTTGATAGAGTATCAAATGCCTTGGCTGATCATAAACATGTCATAGGCATATTCATGGATTTCAGCAAGGCATTTGATACTCTTGATCATACTATATTATTGTATAAAAATAAAGCATTAGGGTGTACGAGGTAAAGCACTTGATTGGTTCGAAAATTACTTATCAAGAAAGCAATATATTTTATTCAATTCAGTTACTTCTAACATATCATTTATTAAATGTGGAGTTTCGCAAGGTTCCATACTTAGGCCACTATTATTTTTGATATATGTCAATGATATCTCTAATGTTTCACCAATTCTACAGTATATAATGTTTGCGGATGATACGAATGTATTCTATTCACATTCTAATTTAAATTCGCTGATCGCAACCATGAACATTGAACTAAGTTATCGAAATGGTTCAAAAGCAACATATTATCATTGAACCTAAAAAAGACAAATTGTATTCACTTTAGAAATTCAAGAAATCATTATATTCATAATTTTGACCTGCTTTTTGATAATGTTCCAATAGAAAAAAAAATTCATCAACCAAATTCTTAGATGAATATATAAATGAAAAATGGAATAATCATGTGAACTACAATTATCTCTACCCCTATTTCTCGCAATATCGGTATACTATTAATAAGCTTAAATATTTTTTGCCAACACAAAAATGCTTAGTATGCTATATAATACACTGGTTTAACCATGAATTTTGTATTGCAATATCATATGGGCTAGTCATAATTGCAATACTAATCGTATATTAATGTTACAGAAAAAAGCAATTCGAGTTTGTACCGATGCAGGTTATCGCGACCACACTGACCATTTATTTGCCACATTAAAAACTCTTTAAAAAAAAGTGATATACACTACATGCACAAATCTCTGTTCATGTTTCGGCTTAAATCTGGCATTCTCCCCTATCACTAGTCATATTATTCCAACATAATGCTAATTTGTATTTCTACCCGACCAGGCATTCTAATAACCATCACCTATTTAACGCCAAAACATCCGTAGCTCAAAACTCAATTAGACATTCTGGCCCTGCATACCTGGAATGCACTACCCCCTGAAATAAAATCGATGAATACAATGCTATCTTTAAAAAGAGCGGTGAAAAAGTTTCTTATTGCTCATTATTTTTAAATCCTCCATCAAAATGTGCTTACCTTCAATCTGTCTAAGTTCTCCCAGACGTAAATAATCAGATCTGTAAAAACCCAATACACACACACACACACACACAAACTCTCCTTGTCTACCCGTCGTTACAAAACTCGATAATTTTCAGTACTCTTACTTTGTTTTGCTTCCATTCATTGAAACGTTGATTATAACCTTCCATGCCCTGATATAAATACATGTATAAATAAAGAGTGGCCTACTTGGGATACTGACTAAACACTGTTTTGTATCCAAACATTTTAAGGCTCCGACTCGCAGACCCAGGGCTGCGTCTCACGAAACCGTCATAAGTACAAGTTGAGCGACATCCCATTGAAACGCGTGTTAAACTTAATACACGCGTTTCAACGAGATGTCGCTCAACTTGTACTAATAGGGACTTTTAGATTGAGTGAACGAGAACACGACGAACGCCGACTGATCATGCGTGTCAACGTACTCAACTGCCCATGTTGACTACAGTTAGAAATCTTTTAGATTGCGCTCGACGATATACATGCATGCAGGAAGTAACACTATGAACATCACGGACAAAGAAAGAGTACAAAATATACAGTTCCTCATTCTACCCTCAACAATTGCTGTGGTAGACAAAAGAACATCCCTTCCCTGCTATTATGTAAAAATGTGTAGAACAGGTGAATATGCATGTGACACCTGTTCTACACATTTTTACATAATAGCAGGGAAGGGATGTTCCTTTGTCTACCTGAGGAACTGTATATTTTATGCGCACGCGGCATACTAGTACCGTACTAGATTTACGAAAATCAAGGTTGACGCATTCTCGATCGCCGACTGAGACGACGTGACGCATGCACAGTGCCTTAAAATGACGTCACACGTTGCAGTCAAAGCTGTCGACGTGCAAATCTAAAAGTCCCTATGACGGTTTCGTGAGACGCAGCCCAGGTTTCCAGTCTTTATAAACCAGCTCGCTGATCTCGCATTCTTATTCGTATTGTCCAGAAACCTCGCGAGTCTTCTCATTCTATCCCAAGCCACCCATTATTCGAATGTGCATCTTCTTCTTTATCTTCATATATCAAATTGAAATCCAATTATACATCTGTTCATTTCTCCCCCCCCCCTTTTTTTTTCTCTCCCTCTTTCCCCTTTTACCAAAATATTTTTTTCTTCATATTTGTATTATTAAGCTTTGCTTACTTTTTCACCTATACCTGTTTGATGATTTCGAAATAGTTACAGCCAGCCTTGCTTTATTCTTCATACATTTTTTGTTGTCATGTGTACAATTTGCAATGTTTTGTTTGTTAAATATTTGTAAAACTGCAAAAGAAAAAGAAAATCAAACAGAATTAAGTAAATCAAATCAGATCAAATCAAATGTGAATGTTTCTGAGCGCTGTACAATTATTATCCTGACATTAGCCGAGCCACCTTGATAAAGCGCTTTGGCATTCGGGGAATTCCTTCGTACGGGTACCCATTTCAATCACATGGGTAGAGAGTGGCTAAAGTTAGATTAACATCTTGTCAGAAATCATGTTCTGATGACGTAATACGTTGCACTGTCATTTTCAGACTCTTCAAAACATAATACAGTACTGAAATTGCAATTGGGTCGATTTGTTGAAAGTCTTTGCGTTCGTGTGGAAGATAACAACTTAACCCCTTCCTCCTTAACTTTGCATCAGGCTCATTCTGACCGGTCACGATGCCCCGATCGGTTCGTACTTTGAAATGGAAGATAACAACTTAACCCCTTCCTCCTTAATTTTGCATCAGGCTCATTCTGACCGGTCACAATGCCCCGATCGGTTCGTACGTCTCACACGCGGAGAAGATGAGTATCCGGTTCGAGTCCAACGAAAGCTGGTTTGCAGGCCGCGGGTTCCGTGCATTCTTCCGAAGTGTGTCTCTCAGCATCCCCAAACCTATGTGTTTTGTTATAGTGACATATCATAATGAGGCGAATTAGCGTCAAATGTATCGTTTATCGTTACTTGCTGGATAAATTAAAGCTCCATTTTTGGTACAGGGCTTCCATAGGAGCTACTAACGATAAGGGTGGAAACCCCCGGCAAGAATAGGGGACACCGGTCTTACAAGGCTACTTAATGGGGTGTGTGTGCGAGAAGTCGTCCCGAAGTGGTGCTTTTTAGTCTCTTTTCCCTTCTCCCTTTTTCTTTCTCCCGTTCACCTTCTCCCTTTCCCCTTCTCCCGTTCACCTTCTCCCTTTCCCCTTCTCACTTCTCACTTCTCCCTTCTCCCTTTCCCCTTCTCCTTTTCCCCTTCTCCCTTTACCCTTCTCCCGTTCACCTTCTCCCTTTCCCCTTCTCTTTCCCCTTTTCCCTTTCTCTTCTCTCTTTCCCTTTCTCACTTCCCCCTTCTTCCTTTCCCCTTCTCCCTTTCCCCTTTTCCCTTTCACTTTCACCCTTTCCCCTTCTTCCTTTCCTTTCCCCTTCTCCCTTTCCCTTCTCTCTTTTCCCTTCCCCCTTCTCCCTTTCCCCTTCTCTCTTTCCCCTGTCTCTCTTTCCCCCTTCTCCTTTCCCCCTTCTCTCTTTCCCCTTCTCCCTTTTGCCTTAACCCTTAACCCTTCCCCCTACTCTCTTGTCTATCTCTTTTTTTTTTTAGCTTTTCCTCTTTTTTTTATCAACCACTCAATGGGGGGTGGGGGTACTGTAGATTAGCAACAAATGGAGTTTTGTTTTGACAGGATAATTGCTTAGATATATGTCTTGTTGAAGTTTTATTATATCAAGGAGCTAGGACATCTAATTCTACCTCCTTGGTTTTATATATATACAGAACTCATTGTAATTTAGATTTTTTTTTATTATGCTCCATTTATATTCTGAGGCTCATATATAATCCTTATTAAGTTATAAATGATTTTCTAAATTTATCTTGTTAAGGCTTTCTATTTAATTGATAATTGATATGCCTTTCTTATATTCTGTTTTATGTTTCAACGGATGATAATCTTTATATCCCATCCATGTAGTAACGTTACTATATGCTTCGATACAAGTAAAATGTACATTTTCTTTTTTTCGAGGCTTCGTTTAGATTTACTGTATACTCGTATCGTTTAAAAAAAAAACTAATTGTATAGAGTGTAATGCTATAATTGTGTGTAACTGTATTACTTTATTTACAAAATTCGCACCTGTTATTTGAGGTCCTTGTTTGTTTTCATGCTTTTCCTTCTACGTCAGGATTTCAGATTTTAATAAATTATTTGAAGTTTGATTTAATCTGCATAGGACGGGGTTCCAGCTTTGTAGCTGAAGATCCGATAAGACATTATTTATTATTTTTGATTTCATTTATTTATTTACAGTTTTATTTGAGCAGGATTGCCACTTCAGTTAAAAAACTGCAATCCCTGTTGGTCCTGCACATTACAAACAATGAATGGATATAGTATATAGAATATTTACAGGCTTGATAAATACGGATTGCACAAACAAAAAACATTATGAAACAAATATTGTGAATACAAAATAAATACATAAGAAACAAAGATTATGAATACAAATTTATAAAGAGAAACTGATTATATAATTTTGATTATATTTTACTGATTATTATATTTGTAAGCGCTATGGTACTTATTGTTTATAGCGCTCCTAAACATTCTATATTATTTTATCATCATTATTTAAAAAAAAATCAAATTTATTGATTATTAAATCTTTCAAGTACTAATTATTGATGACTGCTGTTGAAAGGGAAATGGGGGTAATCAATGGGGAAGTGAATGGTAATGAATGAGATAATGAATGGTAATGAATGAGATAATGAATGGTAATGAATGGTAATGATTGGGGTAATAAATAGGGTAATGATTGGGGTAATGAATGGGGTAATGAATGGGGTAATGAATGGTAATGATTGGGGCAAGGGCGTAGCCAGGATTTTTAACGGAGGTGTTTTTTTGCCCAATTCGTGAGAAAATATTTAGCGGCGAATCAGCCAGCCGGTGACAAAGCGGGGATGGGGGGGGGGGGGGGGGGGGGGGGCTAAGCACTTAGTATTTTTTTGGCTCAACGGAGGGGGGGGGGGGGGGGAGTAAACACTCCTTTTTTCGCTCAACATCCACCCCATCCCCCTCGAGCAAAAAAAAAAGGTTACATTTTTTTGGCAAGGGGGGGGGGGGCATAGATAAAACACAGATAAAGGGCGTCTTTAAAATTCTAAAACACCCCCCCCCCTCATTACGCCAATGGATCTGGGGGTAATGAGTGGGGTAATGAGTGGGGTAATTGATGGTAATGAGTGGGGGTAATTGATGGTAATGAGTGGGGTAATGAATGGTAATGAGTGGGGTAATGAATGGTAATGAGTGGGGTAATAAATGGTAATGAGTGGGGTAATGAATGGTAATGAGTGGGGTAATGAATGGTAATGAGTGGGGTAATGAATGGTAATGAGTGGGGTAATGAATGGGGTAATGAGTGGGGTAATGAATGGCAATGAGTGGGGTAATGAATGGCAATGAATGGGGTAATGAATGGTAATGAGTGGGGTAATGAATGGTGAAAAGGGGCACTCATCAGAGACGAAAAGGAGCAGTTTTACTCGTCATCTGTCATTATTATCTTAATTGTTCACACACATACGTTAATAAAATTATTTATGTTAATCGCTATTTATATAGGTTTAAATTCATTTCAAGTGATAAATGCTCATTCTGTGCAAGAGATGAGGAAAGATATATGGACATATTTTTTTAATGCGTTGTAGTGAGAAGATTATGGGAACAATGTAGTGATATCCTGGATCTTCCTATTCTCAAAGACATGAGCTGGAAGGAAGTTCACATTGGATTGGATAAAATAAATGAAGATAGGCAAAAAATTTACCACGTTGTGTTAATAATCAAATATATGATATTTTAAGTAGGGAGAAAAAAATCCTCCAAGCATCGAGGAAATAAAAGAATAATTATTTAAAAGCGAACAAGAAGAAAGAAAAACTGCTACTGAACGAAAAACATTGACACTCCATTATAAAAAATGGGAACATCTTAAAGGTATTACAAAGTTTTGGGAAATGTTGAAAAATGGGTGGATAGTGATTCTTTACAATTTTGATATATTTGGATGCCCCTGTGGATGTAATAAAAGCACTGTAAATTTTAGCCCCTAAAACGCTTCTTTTTTCGAGAAAAATTGAATATAAAGATTTACCGGTGCTTCCGGTAAATTTTGATAAATTTCAAATAGCTCCTACGGCCGTACTATGGTAGCTGCGACCATCAAAATCTCAGAATATGTAGTTGTGGTATATAATTTGCGAACGGGAATAGCTAGTCGGTCGATATTGGTCAAGAAACATTGTTTTATAGCTTAAGTAATATCTTGACCTTGAGAGGGAGCTATACAACATAAAGTGATTATTATTTATAATTTTATAACTTAAGACTCGATTTCGACCGCGACGATGATCACTGAATATTGTAGGATCGCATATGCTTCCAATATGTTCATTTGAACCAAATTCGTGACCCCATACCAAAACTTTGTATTACCTTTAAGGTAAACGGTGATAATAAACAAGAAAATTGAATGGATGAGGAGGGGTCCACTCAAATCGCATTTATGTGTGATTGACCGCTGTCGACTGCCATGGACTGCTCACGTTTTGTTTGTTTTGTTTGTTTGTTGTTTTTTTTCTTTTCGGGAGGATGGTTTTTTTTTGGGGAAGGGGGTTATTAAGAATTTTTTTTTTCTTCATTCAAAATAATTGAGTTGTGTATATTGTGTACTCCATATTTTATGTAATGTAATTTGAAATCATTTGTATTTGTATGATGTACATGTACATGTATTGAATGAAGACAATAACAAAAATACTACCAAAAAACACACCGAGTGACGTCCTACTCAACAGGCAAAAATCCTTGCGATAAAAGCATAATCCATTTAGGAATTCCAATAAATTACATCATATCGAATATCAAATGTAAAGTCATATTAGAAAATCAATAGATAAAATATAATTTCTCTTGAAAAACATATATAGCTCCTATGATTTAAAGCTGTTTTGACTGTACGATGGTTTTTACCTTGGCATGATCGTGAGAGTCGTGCCATAACAAAACTTATCAGCTTAGGAGTTCGCCCCTGCATTGTGCCATGGATCATGAGTTTCTTGCAATCCCGTCAACAATGCACCCGTTACAGATCAGTTCTATCTGATTGGTCGATGTTGCAGGCTGGAGTACCACAGGGAACTCGCTTAGGGCCCATTGTCTTTTTAGCCATGATTAATGACGCAGCGCCACCGACCGGAATCAACGCCTACAAATACGTCGACGATATGACGCTCGTCGAATGTCGCACTCGAGATGAACCGTCCAACATGCAGAGTGCCGTCACTGATCTCGCCTCCTGGTCAGAGACCAACCACATGAAACTGAACGCCACAAAGTGTTTCGCAATGGAAATCAATTTCTAACGAAATCCTACTGTCCTACCCGCAATTCGCGTTGACGGTCTAGAACTACAATCCGTCAATACTATAAAGCTTCTCGGCATTCTGATCCAAAGTGACCTGAAATGGGAATCAAATGTTACAGATATCATCAAAAGAGCAAATGGAAAACTTCACATGCTATACGTATCTTAAAAAGGCACTGCCTTCCAGTTCGTGATTTGTTAACCATATATGATGGATATGTTCGGCCTATCCTCGAATATGGGACACCGGTTTGGAATAGCGGCATCACCAAGAAACAATGCGAAAGCTTAGAAAAAATCCAAAAGCGAGCCCTCCGCATCATCGTTGGTGCTCGGTATACTACTTACCAGAACGTTCTTACCTGCTGTGATATGGAAACACTTGAGCAAAGAAGACATTCGCTGTGCACCTCTTTCATTGGAAAAAGTATTTCCAGGAACCAATTAAAGAATATCTACCCCAGATTACTCAGAAAAGAGTCCTTAGACATACTAAGAAATTACCTGAACTACGTTGCCGAACAAACAAAGTGAAAAACAGCCCCATACCATCACTTGTACGCATCTACAATTCTAGTTAACAAGAAATCTACTTTTATTTTTGTAATACTACCAATATCATAGTTGTGATAAAATCCCATAAGTGCAATACAAGGCAAACTATGGTTTCAATTACTGATACACACAAAGTATGAAATCAATTTTTTATGCAATTTGTTTTGTATACATTTATATTCATATACCAATTTTATATTTATACTGGGGTCTAATCTTTGTATCTGTATAATA